CATCTTGTAAATAGGACTAGAACTCGGAACTAAAAAAAAAAAACACCTGGTTTTATGTGTTTCTATATGTTTAAATAGATCATGTGTCTTTCATGCATTAGAGATTGGTTCATCTTTGCTAATAACACGTTTCTTAAAGCTGAGGGCTAATATTTGAAGTATAGATGGAATTAAGGGGGGTTTGGGGTTGTTTTTGGGGTGTTTTTTTTTAAGATCCAGCCTTGATCACAGCTTTAATCTTCTCATATTATCCGTTTATAAGCTTCTTATTTCTTTCTTGTGCCTATAAAAACCTTAGTTCCTTCATTTCCTACGTAACATGAACGCAACAGTGGACTCAATTATCACTTATTCTGATTATTCATTTGGATTTATTTACAGAAAACATTCTTTAAAAGGAATCTAACCAGCGCTTACCAGCACTAAACCCAAATAAAGGCATTATTTAACTCACTTGATATGATCATATATGTAATTTTGCTTAAGCTGTGATGTAATCAGCTTATTTTGATGCCTCATAAAAATAAGAGTCTCATCTTTTTAGCGTGTTTTAAACACCCTGCAGGCATTTTTACTCTCGTTTTATGGTGTAAGACATCGTTTTTCACACGTTTAGCACACTTTACGTCACTCGCGCTAGGGCATTTGATTTATTACTTTTGGTTTTGGTGTTGCCTGTATTTAAAATCCCAGTGACGATGGATATTTGGGCATTAAGCAGAATTGATTTGCATGCTGTTGTCTGTTATTTACAGCATTACTGAGGTTTTTTTCCCTCCTGTTTTGCCAGAATGACTATTATTTATTCATCGTAACAGGATATTACAGCAGCTGTACTGTACATTTTGTTTTACAAAGTAAGAGATCTGCATGCATTTTACTTTTTATGCAGATATTTGAGATATTGATGACACAAACCAGCTTCCTGAAGCAATCTGCAAACAAGTATTCACTGAACTCTGCTTTTTGTTTATGAATGTTTCTAATGTATTCGAGTTCTTCTTGTTTCCAAAAAGAAAAAAATAATCTATTTTTACATTTTTCTAAACGATGGCAGCTGATGTCTCTGATGGACAGAATCACTCTTCTGTGCAAGTAAATGTTTATTCAATTTGACTTGCAATAAAGAAACCCATTTTAAGTGTAACTCCTTGACTTTTTGAAGTGATTTTGGTCCTTTTTACGTTTTAAACATCAACTTATAGGTCCATAACATTTACTTAAAGGTCCCATTACACAACACAGTGGCCCTGATCACTAATTAGGAAAAAAAGAGAACTAATATTTGTAAAATAAATAAATGAATAAATTAAAAAGTAATGAAATTCAAATTATATTGTTTCAGCTCAAAGCTTTAAACTGGAATTCTTGAATGACTTGGTGGAAAAAAACAAATCAATAATAGAACTTGTGCAGTAAATATAGATAAGATAATTATGCATAAAACTAATTATACAATATATATCATTTTTACTATTTGTAAAAAATAAATGAATAAATTAAAAAGTAATGAAATTCAAATTATATTGTTTTAGCTCAAAGCTTTAAACTGGAATTCTTGAATCACTTGGTGGAAAAAAACAAAACAATAATATAACTTGTGAAGTAAATATAGATAAGATTATTAGCATAAAACAAATTATACAAAGGCAATAAAAATAACAGTATTTTACCTGAGATCTTTACATATATATTGGACATATATAGTTTTCGGGTGAGTGCTGTATGTCTCTGTGTTGTGAATGTTTCTAAATTTTAAAAAGAGATAAAAAATAGTATTTAAAGCTGATATGCCAGAAAAATTAACATTACATTGTGTGAATGTTGCACATGGGAAAATAACCAGAAAACTGAACATTTATTCAGATAAAAAAACATTTCCATTACACCCTGAAAATTAGCTGAGTCGTCATCACAAATCACCAAAATAAAATTCAAATTTACCACAGAATAAATGACTAATGGATGGAAGTGATCAAGATGATCAATCTATGCTTAAAGATTTAAACACAGAATAGACTTGTTGAAATTAAAGATTATATTAAACTTTTAATGAAGCAGGTTGTGTTTTTGTAGATTTAAATAAACTTTTAACCAAATATTTATGGCTAATTTAGCTTGTGATGTGTCCTAAAAAGATGTAAAAGGCTGGGATAGAGTTATGGACCTTGTTTTGAAAAAGTAATTTAACATCTTTGATAATCCTCTTGCCAAATTCCTCTCATTATCTTTTGATTGTGTCAAAATGACACATGACCACGAGGGGGTGCCAAACACTGTCATGTGATTGGTGGATCTGAAGAGGCCACTTTAAGCCGGGGGGGGGGGTTCATTTTGGTTTTAGACGACCACTTCCAGACGCCGTTGGGTTCCAGGACCACCGGGAAACAGGGATTTTATTTTCAGAAAATCGACAGAGCTTCCAGAAAATTTTGGACCAAAAAAAAAAAACAGCCTGATTGTAAGTAGAATTTTTACTGTATTTGAGTCTGATTTAAGACTTGCTGATGAATATAATGCAAATGGTGTCTTTAGGTTTGTTTTTCTTTTTGCATTATTGCATTTTTTGTATGTGTAGCAGTCATAAAATCAGTTGAGTCGTTTCATTTTGAATTATGAGACAGACCTAATAAGTATTTGAGCCCTTGCTGATTTTGCAGGTTTGCCCACTTACAAAGAATGCAACGATCTATAACTTTAATCATATGTACATTCTAACAGTGAGAGACAGAATCCCAAAGAAAATTCCAGAAAATCACATCATATGAATTTATAAGAATTGATAACCATCTGATGAGGAAAAATAAGCATTCTTTGTAAGTGGGCAAACCTGCAAAATCAGCAAAGAGTCAAATACTTATTTCCCCCACTGTAGCATTAAACTATGTGAGAATGATTCTGTTTATTGATTTCTATGTCTGTAGAAGGTCTAAGGGGCCATCAGAGAAGAAGAAAGATCCAGTCTGGACGCCATGCTTCTTTAGGGTTTGATTTATTTGCGGCCCTCCCTATGGTGGTCAGGAAGAACCTGGCCATGGGAAATGGTTCCATCAAAGCCCCCCGGGGTGAGGAGAACAACCACCTGGCCTCCATAAACTCACCCCCCCCTGGTCTGGACACGGAAATCCTCAGGTCAGAATCAAACCACAACAATACAGGACTGTCTCAGAAAATTAGAATATGGTGATAAAGTTCTTTATTTTCTGTAATGCAATTAAAAAACATGAAATGTCATACATTCTGGATTCATTACAAATCAACTGAAATATCGCAAGCCTTTTATTGTTTTAATATAGCTGATTATGGCTTACAGCTTAAGAAACCCAAATATCTCAAAATATTAGAATATCGGATTTTTGAGTTTTAATTGCATTACAGAAAATAAAGAACTTTATCACAATATTCTAATTTTCTGAGACAGTCCTGTAGGCATGATATTACTTTTCGTTCCAATTTTTGAACGATCAGCAAATGAACATGTTCTCATCAACGCTTCATATTTACAAAGACCGGGTACATTTATACATTGTCTTATATTATACAATACTTACAATTACAGCATCTGAAAAGCAGTCTTTAAACACAGTAAAAGAAAAAAGAAATCTCCAAACATCAACATATGAGTGCAACGTTTCATTTTGGTTCTTTTACTTTGATAGGTCCATATGTCCGTATTCTTTTTGCTGCCTTATTTATGAAAGTCACTGAATTAGATTGCATCATTGTATTAAATATATTCTCTTGATTTTAAAGACCTAATGACTCAATGTAATTATTATGTTGTTTTATGATGTGCATTAAGGAGTATGGAATATGGGGTTTCTCTTGTTTGATAAGTAGAGAAAAACGTGGTGAAAAATCTTTCTTTGATTGATTGATTGATTATTTTTATAGCGTTTAACAACACGAAGGTGACCAAAGCACTTAATGGTAAAAGTAAATCACGAGACGGGAAATAAAAAGTTCGATCACAAAAGAAATACACATAATAAAATGAGAAATTAGGAAAGTTCCATTCCACCACACAGTATCAAAAGTCTGTCCAAAAAGAGAAGTCTTTGGTTTGGGGTTTAAGGTTCTCTGGTCTGAAGGTAAATGAAGATCTAAAGGGAACTTGTGTCAAAATTGGAGAAAAGTCCCTTTCCACTGAATGACGGAAACAATTGACCAATTGGTGTGACATTTATGATTAACCCTGTAATGCCAAATATATCATATTTGATACGGTTTCTGAAATGTTTTGCATCTGACTCCTTTTGCTTAATTTAATGGTAAAAACTTTGCTCAAAATCCTATTGAACACAATCAGATACACCTGATAACAGGGGGCAGAAGATACACAAAAAATAATCTGGACTTATCGCATAGTAATAAATTATTAATATTAAAAATGTATTTCTGTTTTTGCTTTTTACATATTTTGTTAAAAGGCCAAATAAGGAATTCAAACCAAAAAAGAGCAATTTTCTGTTTTGTTTAATTCTTGGATCGGGTTTTAAAGGGTTAAAGATATTCAAATGATATCACATTATAGTTCAGGCTTGATGATGCATCCTGAACTATAGTTCGTTGTACCACCTTTGCAGTTTGTCTAACAACCAATATTTGAATCACTCGACTGAAACCAAGTCTTCTTTTATGATATTTACTTAAAGAACTCAAAAAGGTACACTTGCAGAAAAAATGAAAGGCTCGGTACAGATCGGTCAAAAAATTGTGCTGCTTCCACCATATCCAACTGCAATCTAAACTTAAACGTGCATACGGGCAATATTAATGTTACGCATTACTTTTCACAATAAAAGCATCCTTTTACATTAACTAAGTTATACATTCTAGAAAATATACTCATCATGAATTTCCTAAAAAGTAAATTAAGCATATTTATGCATTTTTAATCTAAATTATTATTCTATATGAACTCCCCATTAACTGGCTCTTACAGTCGGTGTTTAATGTGAAATCTGTTGAATTTGATCCACAGGTTACGAGTCATTCACCTGGAGACGGAGCTCGCACACCGAAACCAAGAGTTCCACGCCCAGGGCCTTAAGCTGCAGCATCTCCAGAAGGAACTGGACGCCAAAGTGGCCCAGGTGGAGAAGCTGCAGGATGCCATCCATTACAACGAGAGTCTGGGCCGCTTTCACCATTTCAGCGTCATCAACCAGGCCCCGGCTCAGTTCCACCGCAGACTAAAGGCAAAGGAGGGCGTGTCCGCAGAACCCACCTCAGAGCACTTCAAGTCGCCCTGCAAACCAGTTACCAAAGCCATTCACAAAAACCCACAGTAAGTGAAGAATTCAATTCAATTCAATTCAATTTCGTTTATATCCTCCTGAGACCCGGCCCATTCATTTATGTCCATTATAGTGGACATTTTGTCCACCTGTACCCCCCCTAAGTATCTGGACTTACCCTATAAAGCCCTATAGTGTTCTGTAGAGCACATCCTGGGCTTTCCAGTGATGTGCCATGTGATAGGTTTGCATGCTGGGAACTTTACTTTTTTCCTAAGAGTTCTTAGGTAAATATCCCTTTCAAGACATCTTCTTTTTTATTATTTAATTATCTAAAGCCTGTTCTATTTTCCCATGCAAATCGTCCTTTGTCCTCCACAGTGGACATGCTATGAAATTAAAATTAAAAATAATTTTTTAAAAATTTAAATTGTAATGTTCTTTTTTAGGTCCAAATACATGGAAAATCACAACAAAAAAGAAATTTGAAGACAATTTTTTTTCTTTGGGTCTCGGGAGGATACAGCGCCACATCTGTCATGTAGGTGGATCTTGAAGGGAGGACAAGGTTTATTATAACCCTAATCCTAACCCTAACCCTAACCCTAACCCTAACCCTAACGGTGGAAGTCCAGACATGGTACAAAACAAGGCTGTGGAAAACTGTGAGCAAAGTATCAAAGCAATAAGTAAACAAGACTGTGGCAAAGTAAAAAAAAATAAAGATTAACAAAACTGTGACAAAGCTGTGGCAAAAACTGTGAGTATGACAAAAAGCAAACCTGGCGTGGGGGTGACGAAAGACAGACGACGAAAAGGACGAAACGGACGAAAACCAGACGGACGAAAACGCACTGGCACAAGACAAGGGGAAACGAGGACTATTTAAACACATGAGGGAGGGGAACCCCAGGTGAACACAATAGGTAATCAACACATGACGACACACCAGACATTCCCCCAGACGTGACAACACCACAACAACAGTTGTCTCACAGCTTTCCAAACAGAGCAGGTCAGACCTACTCTGAAGTTAATTACAGAAACCCAACAATTCCCACCATGAGCAAGCACTAGGCGACACAGGCAAGCAAAAACTTCTAATTTAACGCTGCTGTAATTAGTGCTTTAGTGAAAATCTAAAGGAAATGGTTTTAGACATTTTCAACTAATCATGTCAGTATTATGTAATTACAATTTTGTAACATTTTTTTTTAAATATTTTCCTTTTTAATATTCAATTCAATTCAATTTCATTTCTATAGCGCCACATCACAACAACAGTTGTCTCACAGCTTTCCAAACAGAGCAGGTCAGACCTACTCTGAAGTTAATTACAGAAACCCAACAATTCCCACCATGAGCAAGCACTAGGCGACACAGGCAAGGAAAAACTTCTAATTCAACGCTGCTGTAATTAGTGCTTTAGTGAAAATAAAAAATGCAGTGTTAAAAACTCTAATTTAGTATTTCCATATGGAGGTAACCAACGCTCAAGAGATGTGGAGTTTGTTGGTGTCTCAAAGTGGCTTCTGTGCAGATATGAGTCCAGTTTAACCTCCTGAGACCCTGGATCCTCATTTCTCTTTACCATGATCCTTTTTTTTATTTGACCTTTGACCTCTTGGCCTCATAGAAGACACTATCAGACCCTACAGTTTGAAATCTAAAGGAAAATGGTTTTAGACATTTTCAACCAATCATGTTAGTATTATGTCATTACAATTTTGTAACATGATCTAATTCAATCATTTCTTTAATTGAGATTGATTGTAATCAGTGACTGCTGCAAAGGGACGTATTGTGGATACTACCAAAAAAAACCATCCATTAAAATTGATTAGTTCCTCACACATTCAAAAACACGTGCATTGTCATTCAAACAGTTTGATCAGTGACAGTCACCACAAACACAAAAGCCCGGGCAGGCTTTTGTTTCCCCTCCTTCTCATCTGAAAGGCCTAATTAGCATGGATGGAGAAGGGAGAAGACAAAATGTCACAGAGACCGGGGTCATTATGGGATTTAATGACCAAACCTCTCAGACCCAATTAGCATGCACCTTTTTTTATCGAATGTGTGATGTGGTAATCAGAAACACAAAGAAACACGTGTTCACTAAACCTGCTGAATAAATTGAACCAGCCAGGGTTATAACACCATGACTTGAGCCCTGGAACCTTATTTTCTAGATGCAACTAGCCAAAATGTATATATATATATATCATTTTAAGTATCACCTGATCTAAAAAACATATTCTAAATTTAATGTTTTCTTTTAGTGCCCTAATCCAAACCATTTGTGAATAGTGAGAAAGTGAGAGAACTCCAGAAAATGTCTTGGATTCACATCTAAATCGTTGAATTTATTGGGTACTTTTACATTATACTTACTGTTCCTCATTCACCCTATTATAAAAAACTAATCCTAGGACTGGTATTGTTCTGTACTTTAAAGTGTTTAAGATACTAGAGATTAACACAATAGAGGAACATGCACCAGAACTCAATATGTTTTTTTAATTTTTTATTATTCCAGCACCAGGAAACTCCTGAATGATGCCATCATGAGCAACGACTTCCTGAAGAAACTGGAGCCCCAGCACATGAGGGAGATGGTGGACTGCATGTATGAGATGGTTTACGTGGAGGGAGAGCTGATTATCCAGGAGGGGGACGCTGGAAACCACCTTTACGTGTTAGCAGGTTAGCCCAAACACAATGTGTGTGAAGTTATATCACGGAAATGCGGTGAAACTTGAAATTAAACGTCCTATGAGAAAATATCAACATGCATTTCAAAGGCTGCAACCAGAGTTTTGGTTCAAACTTCTTCAACTAAGATGATTCAAACTATTCCCACTCCTTTTCCTAGACTCTTAGTAAGGATTCCACTGTGTCATTATCATGAAATATGTTGGCTATTTAAGAAATTTAACGTCCTATGAGAAAATATCAACATGCATTTCAAAGGCTGCAACCAGAGTTTTGGTTCAAACTTCTTCTACTGAGATAATTCAAACTATTCCCACTCCTTTTCCTAGACTCTTAGTAAGGATTTTACTGTCATTATCAGAGACATTGTTCTAAGCCAGTAAACCAGAGATGTCAAACACCCGTCACCAAATTATTTATTTATTATTTAATTTATTTATTTATTTGAATAGGGACAAAGCACATTAATGAACATCAGTATAAAAACAAATGGAAATATGCCGGATTATAGCTACAAAGCTAATTTTCATCCGTAGTCCCTAGGCAGGCAAATGCATAAAAAAGAACATATAATAAACAATATAAGCATCACAAGTCAATGTTAAAATTTTAGTGGTCACATGACATACGCGTGACAGGACAAATAAACACCAACAGAAAATCTAAAAAGCTACAAACATGAAATAAAATAATAAGTCCCTAAAACCCTGTTACATCCAGATCATTTTAGCAATACAATAAGATCTTACAGTCAAATTAAGTCTGAGCTGGAGATTTAACCCACATGTAAAAAGTAGTGGGACCACTTCCTGTTGTACCATATTTAACAGTCTATAAGATAATCTCTCTAGGGCCTGACCCATGTCAGATGGATTATTTTGTATTGTTTCAACTGTAAGTTATCATTCGTCACATTCTGAAAGTGTAACATTATTAAAGGCATTTAAACATAATTGTAACCTGAAGTTTTTTTATTTATTTTTCAATCAGAGGTGAATAATAATGAGTCTGTTTCTCCAAAGCATGATCGTAAAACATACAAAAACAAAAAAGGCATGTTTCAATATAACTTTAGAACTGTTCCATAGATAGGGTTAATACACACAAAACAGTTGTATTGTTATAGGTCAGGGGCTTATCTTCGGAATCATTTCATTTTTTACATTTTGTTTCTTCTATCTCTCTTCTTAGAAGGTTTTCTGGAGGTCCTCCAGAATGGAAAGCGTTTGGGGGAAATACGGCCTGGCGCTGCTTTTGGAGAGCTGGCCATTTTATACAACTGTAAGAGAACAGCAACCGTCAAAGGTAAGAAACAGACATATTTTCTATAGACAAGACGAATTAAATATAACAAGAAAGATTATGTAATTCGGAGACTGAAGGTAGAAGAAACAAAAACAAAACTGGAGTCCAGAATTCAGAGATAAGCCAAGAAATCAACATAAAATCAGAATTGATTGACTTTTTCTAGGGAGTTTGGATAATAATCATGGGGTTTAATATTTTCCCTACAAAATTTGGACAACTTTTTCTCAATCATTTGATACTGATAAAATATCCAGGCCAAAATCTTTCCCAAAAATACTTTGATTCCCTTACAGGGAGATGCATATGTGTGTTTATATTCTATATATATTCTGTATATATTCTACTTTGTAAGTTGCTTTGGATAAAAGTCTCTGCTTAATGCATAAACATACACAGGTTTTTAACCTGAGCCATTTTATTTTTGGAAAGAATAAAAACACAACAAGTTCATTTATCTATAAAAATGACTTGTTCAGTTTAAATCAATCAATCGGAAGATTGAATTGTTCGATTGTAACTGCTTAAATGAACTCAAATGCAAAGAAAACAAAAAAAAGAGAGAAAACCAGGCAGTTTATTTGCACATTTCTTTTTCAAGGTCCTTAGCCTTATCTTATGAAAAGAGATTTTTAGGATTTTATGGTAACTGTATCAAGTTCATCTAATTTTTATACCATCATATAAACTATAAACGTTATCGAAATAAACTTTTTAGGCCTAATATTGAAATCATACGTGGTGATGTACAAAACTAAACTCTAAACGCCTACCAATCTAATTTTAAAAACTCTTAGAACCACAAGTAAGCTTGCAATGTGAGAGAAAAGTGGAATCTAGTTCTTTCTAATTGACAAAAACAAGCCAAAACAGGAAACTACAAACTGACATGTACAGGACTGTCTCAGAAAATTAGAATATGGTGATAAAGTTCTTATTTTCTGTAATGCAATTAAAAATCATGAAATGTCATACATTCTGGATTCATTACAAATCAACTGAAATATCACAAGGCTTTAATTGTTTTAATATCGCTGATTATGGCCTACAGCTGAAGAAAACTCAAAAATCCGATATTCTAATATTTTGAGATAGGATATTTGGGTTTCTTAAGCTGTACGCCATAATCAGCGATATTAAAACAATAAAAGGCTTGCGATATTTCAGTTGATTTGTAATGAATCCAGAATGTATGACATTTCATGATTTTTAATTGCATTACAGAAAATAAAGAACTTTATCACCATATTCTAATTTTCTGAGACAGTCCTGTAAGTGCCAAAAAATTGAGGAGAAATTTTAAGCAGACTTTAAAGGATTTGACAACACATTCTTTAGGAAATGTTGTGCTTATTTGTAAATAGGATTTAACCCGCCCCCTACTGTGATCCAAAACTATCCTAATCGTTCTTCTCTCCTCCAGCTGTGGTGCAGTCCCACATCTGGACTTTGGACCGCCAGACTTTCCAGGCCATCATGATGCAGACCACTCAGGCCAAACACGAGGAGTACTTCAGCTTTTTGCGCAGGTACCAATGAGATGATAATGCTAATTAAAGAAAGTCGATTAGCTGTGAGCAAGCTTCTAGAAAGAGAGAACACAGAGAGATGATCAATGGTAAACGGATCAAAATGCAAATCCCAGGGAGGAAAATACAGGGAGAAACCAAAGAAACGTAAGAAAACTGATTCATTGGAAGAAAAACAAAAGAAAAAGAGAAGCAGAAGGGGAAGAACAAAACAGACACCAAAATAAAAGCACAGGAACACAAAAAAGAAATCACAAAAAACTAAAACATAAAATAGGACAGCCACTGCAAATGAAAATATAGTCAAGTCAAGTGAAATTTTATTTATAGAGCACATTTAAAATAACCGAAGTTCCCAAAGTGCTGTACAGGTAAAAATAAACATAAAAAGCGAACTTAATTCACATACATATGTCATTTTAATGTAAAATAAAAAGGTAAAAAGGTTCATATATATATATATATAGTGAATATTAAACAACAATCACCGTGGTTAATTGTGTTATTTTCTGGATCTTCCTATGGGAATTATACAATTATCCTTCAAATTGAACTGAAGTAAAGAAAAGCAGATTGAGATTTAGGGGATGTGGTAGCAGCCGTCACTATTAAATTAAGTGGGGTCTGCATTCTTGAATTACAGTGTTCTGTAATTACTATTACCTTTAACCTCTGTCTATTACTTTTGGATTAGGGAATCATACCTCTTATCTCAGCATCACCCATTATGATGATTATGACTAAAAATGCTTACTAGCAGGATAACAATCATTTCATGAAATAGCAATTCTGGGATAATCAATGTATCGTCAGAAATTGAATCCATGATAAATCACGATATCTGTGTCAGTGAAGGAATAAACATTCATCATCTGCACTGAATTCATTTAATAGGAATTACAGCCAAATAAAACAAAGTGCATCCTGAATGGTGGCTCTTTAAGGGAAGAATGATCCAAAATGATGCCTCAGCTAAATATTTTTTGTCTGTGCAAATGAACAGAAACTTAAAAAACTAAATTAATGTAGAAAATATATATTTCATTCCTAGTATTGTCAACTTTTTCTTTGTAAACATGGACACATGCGAATAAATGTACTTACACCATTCCTATTCATCATTTTAAACTTCAGTGCTTTTATATTTTATGCTTCTATTCTTTAACCCGGTTACAGCATTATACATATTCTTGTATTTCACTACGGTAAGCTTGAGAACTCTGCATGCTGTAATAATAAAAAATTTAAAAAAGCAGTCGCAAAAGAGTTGAAACACCAAAAAATACAGTATTTGTGATAATGGTGTTATGTATAAAAAAATTCCAATATTGCCAAGTAAGAACGTGTGTCTCATTTATTTGTATAGACAATAATTTGCCACAGGCACAACTTAAATAACCATATTCTGTGTTTGTGTGTCCTCAAGTGTGTCTTTGCTCCGGGATCTCCCAGAAGAAAAGCTGACCAAGATTGTCGATTGTCTTGAAGTGGTGAGTATTTCAAAAATTCACCTTTCTGCAGTTTTTAAATAGTCCTGCTGCGGGGGGATCACGTGATGCACGCTGCGGAATAGTCGTGTGTTTTTCGT